CAACCATGTGGTGAGGGGGATCGGGGAGCCGATTCTACTGAAAAGCAGCCACCACTGCAAAGCCAAACATGAGTGCTGGCCTAAGGGAAAAAGGAACAGCTGGGAGCAGAGAGGAGGCAGGGGGTGGGCAGCACAACCCCCTTCAGCAGCAGCATGACTTCTGCCAAATCATACATGGTGATGATGGTTGGACTGGATGATCTTAAAGGTCTTTTCCAACCTAAACGATTCTATGATTCTATGATACAGCCATGACCCCAGATGAAGTTTCAAAGCTGTAAACTTAGAAGTAATCTACTGTGATCTGCTCTGTCTGCTAAGGTGCTCCAATGCTTAAAAACGCCCTGATCAAAGAGGAACAAATGACTTTCAGACAGTGAAGCTGCTGACTGATGGGCCTCCTCCATTGTCCACTCTTGCCTGTTACTCCCGCAAGAAACTCTGGGATTTCTAGTGCAATTCAGTTGAAAGCTACACTGGGGCTTTAACAGTAGAGGTTCATGACATGGGCGAGCCAAATCAATGGCTCGCTGATGCCCTAATGTGGAGGCCTTGTTCCATCCTCATGTCCTCCTGAACCCGCTCCTCCCACCTCCACTCCCATCCGTGCAATGCTGGATCTGCTCCCACCATTGCACAGGTCCCAGCAGGTTTCTGATCATCACAATTGCCTGGGAGAAGCAGGACACTCATTTCTCAGTAGTGGTAAAATACTAAATCACCTAAAAACATCCCATGCAGCCATACCCTCCTCTCTTTACTTTCCACTAGCATGGGCCAGGCGTGCTCACATAATGCAATGTGCAAAAGGCAGCCTGCAACTTCTTGGCCGGATGCCCTGCCAGAGACCCAGATCCTGGAACAGAATCACCCATGGGTTGATGTGCTTGCTAGCAGCTCCATCCCAAAAGTCTTTGCTCTCCTGAAGGCCACAGTTTAATGGAGGCAGCTGCACAAAATCTCGCTGGGTGTAGACGTCTTTGGACTACACTCAACCAGTAGGCTCCAGTTAGCAATCTGGATGCAATCACACAAGCTTAGTAGGCTCTCTGAGCCAGTGCAAGCCAAACACGTATATTAGATACATCCGAAGGTGGCCACCCCTTCCCAGTACACCCTTCTTGTCAGGGGCTTACTTTCAGCACTTGCATTATCATCATCGTCATCATCATCATCATCATCTGTGTACAGTATAGGTCCGTCAGAGTCTGAGTCACTGCTGTGGCTCTCTCTGCTACTTTCACTCTCAGGAGGGGCAGCAGCATCAGAAGCCTCCTCCACTGTTTCAGAGCATGCCTGGTCAGGTGCCTCCACTTCTTGGTGTTCTTTGGCAGCCAAGCTGTTAATTCAGAAGCAGAAACAGTGTCACACTAATGCAAGCAGCACAGAACACAAATGGGAGACAGACTGTATAAGCAAGTATGAAAACAAAAGTTCTGTTATGCCTAACTTCTTTCTTTCTGAAAAACATACATATGTAAAACATATATAAAGCATGCATATGTGTATACGTATCTGTATGCATGTATGTTAGGAAAAAAGATGCAAACAGTCTGGAATGATGTGCTGCAAAGCCTGTATGAAGAAAAATCCTAATCCTTTTTTATTTCTTGTGGGATGGGACCAATAGTACATAAGAGCTACTAAGAGAAAACCAGTTCATAAGGTTGGGGGTGAGAAGAGCGAGTCAGAGAGTGGATGGGAGTGCAAACCTTCCTGTTCTGGAAGCCTAACTCTATTGTAAATACAGTTTTACTGCTGTTGAGTCCAAAAGGTTCAGGTCCATCACTGATGAACATGGAAATCAGCATCTCTCTGCCTTGGAAAAATCTTTATGTAAAGGAAAGGTAGAGCAAGGGGAGAAGCAGCACAGGAACATAATGCTGGCACAGAGATACCAGCAAGAATCTAAAGGAAAGTCTCTAGGCCACTGGCATCTAAACTAAACTCTCTTGGGTTGCTATGAAAGATGCTGGTTCTCGTGGCAGGGAAAAGACAGATTAATAAGCCAGTTTCTTTTTTGCTGCCAACTGTTTTACTTAAAAAATGCAATTATGACTTTGCTCTTGACTAGATTTTACAGTATCTGAGACTTAGACAAGCTATTAAGCAGTGACAGACCAAAAACCTACTAACGAAAGCCTGAAACTGTTATTTTCAAGTCTGCAAGTAAATTCAGCTATTGAATTGAGAGCTTTAGCAGTGAGATATTTAATGATATCCACAAAAAGAACCCCAAAACCCTTGTAATTCAGCATCATTTCTTGTTTGCCTTTATGAGAGAGAAACAAAAGCGTTATCATCTACTAGCTGAACTGCTGTCTGCAGCGGTCACTTCAAGCCACACAATGACGCAGGAGGCAGGTTATGAGCAATGACCTTCTAGGGAAACATGAGGTACTGCAGGTGAATGGCTCAAAGATGTTGGCAAAGAACAAATTGTGCTGCGATGCAACACTGCCCTGGGCCTCCAAGAAAAGGAAACAAACTGTTACCAGTCAGCAGAAGAAACAGAAGAGAACCCCACGTGCTTACAGTGTCCTTTACGAGAAGAAATGTGGCTTCCTTGGCTGTGGGTCTTACCACTTACCCATGACAGCCATACAGTCTTACCTATTTGTGTCTTCCCCACTAGCATCTGGGCTGCTGTCTAGGGCCGTGCTGCTCGGACTCTCATCTGTGCCATGCTCAGTCTGGAGGAGAGGTTTAATATCTGATCCGGGGATGGCTGGCCCCGCCACGCAGCCATCTGACACATCTTGGGCATCTGAGGAGACAGCGGGCTGACCGGCTGCAGCAGGAAAAGGAGGTGGAAGTGGAGGTGGAGGAGGGGCAGCGGTGGGAGGAGGGGGGACAACAAGCTTGCTCGGTTGGTCTGCTTCCTCCATTTCAGAAATTACTATGGAAGGTTGCTCAGGCTTGGGTTTTTCTGCTTTCGCTTCCAACCTGTAGGCTGTGGCACCCAAGGGGGAAGAAGCAGCCCCATCCGGCGCTGTTCGTGGGCCTGACTGTTTCCCAGGTTTTTTCTTGCCCCTGGGAGTCCCTGATGTGCCCGATTTGCTGGAAGTCTCTTTAGAGGATTTGGGATGAGATGACGTGGACGAAGAAGATGGTGATGAAGAGGACTTGGAGACTGGTGGTTTTTTTGCATGAGAGGAACTAGCTAAAATAAGAAAAGATAAAGCATTTTACAGTCTTGCAACTATATGATTTTTGTACCATTCTTTCTGCATGGATTGACATGTGCTGACATTTGAAAAATGAAAAAATTACACTTGATACTTCTGCAATCCTTCATCTATATGCTCAAGACAAGTAAATGTTGCAGTTCAAATTTCACCTTTGAGGTGGGAAAAACTGAAACAATGAATACTTGCCCAAGAACAGTGGAGGGGATCAACACCACAAATGGGTGAGAGTTTGATTCTAGCATTCTGCATTGGCCCATTACAACATCATCTAAAAAGTCCACTACTTATTCCAAACATGTTGAGTAACCTATTTAAAAAAACTGCTACCAGAAAACTGCCTGACCTTTTCTATTATGTGAATTTTTGGTCTGAGCACTAGGAGAACACCATGATTTTCCTTATGCTTTTCAGTGACCACCTCAGGACCATTATGGATATCAGTTAATTACCCTTCACAATGTTATTGCAAGTGGTGTGCTCCTAGTTAATGGCAAGCAGCAGAGGACAACAAAACAAGATGTACTTTCAGGTCCAGCTGGGCATGTCCATAAAACAGAGGCGGAAAGCACTGATCTCACTCTGCACAAATGATGTCCAGAATGCAGGAGGCGCTGAAGGTCTCCTGTGTATACTGGAGGTCTTTGTCTTACCAGTGACCAACTCAGGTAGCCTTGAAAAAGTAGTGACACAAGGTTTTGACACTAGCTGTAGAAGCTGGCCAGTGATGTTGCTGTTTAATCCTGTGATACTTACTATGTTGAAGCATATATGTATCAATGCCCAAGTTTGTAAGAGATTTCAGCTAGCCTGCATGCCCTTGTGCATTCCAGTCACATTTCTGATTGCTGTGTTGATACACCCATCATCTGGCCTGGGAGCTGCAGACTTCTGACTTTCATTTAAAAAGCAATAAAAATGACAACCATCTTAATGATTCAGTCCTTTTCATCAAAATGCATCCAACTCAAACACTTCTGCTGTAGTAAAAACACATTAACCTCAAGAGAACAAATGAAACCATTATAAAGCTACACAGCAGCCTTGCGGCTAAGCTTACTGAGTAAAACAGAAAGCTGTAATAGAAATCTGCTGAAAGGCCTACTTTACTTATAAGCATTTAAATAAAAACAAAACCCCAGCAGATTAGGATAGAACCAAAATACAGATACTGGCCATAATAAGCTCAGATATAAAAATAGCTTTCACAGTGAGACTGTTCTCAGTCTCAAAGAAGATGGAAAATAATTCAGAGGACACATTATACTGTTCTGTTCTGTAGCTGAATGTTATGGTTTATAAACATTTAGAGTGCTGTGAGGCTTTCAGTACATCTGGAAAAATCCACAGAAACTCATGACTTCAGGCAAATCACTGTCCCTTTTTGTGCTGCAAGGTAAGTGTAAAGGGCACAGTACAGAATCTACCGATATTGCACTGATCATCCACGTCAACTACAAACCACTGACTTAACTTACTGGCAAATCAAAGGGAAACAAAGAAATGATATAGGCAGCAGTTTGTAATTGCAGTGGAAATAGATGGTGGCTCCAACCTACATATTATTTAGCTGAAACCTAACTGAGTAAGTGGATGGTAGTAAGAAAGGGCTCTGGTTCTGATCCAGCAAAGCACTTAAACACAGGCTGGAGGTCAGCAGAACCAGTTACATGCTTACATTTAACACCAGCATAATACAAATATACAGCCACACTATACTTGTTGCCGGGAAAATTTTGAAAGATGTTTCCATCAAAAAAACCCTTACATTATTCTCAGAACCTTTATGGACCTGCAATCAGATACAGCAACTTGAAAGATTTCTCCCAGGGAAAATCCCCCCTACACTTCCACATGGGTCAAAAGCTATTGTTGCTTTTGACTGGCCTGGCTGACAATTTTCTGTCATGCCTCTTTTTCAGTAAATGATTTGAATTTTGTTTAAATGAAAAATTTCATGGCTGTTACTTGCCTTCTGGCACATGTCCATGCTTACGTTTAAGTCCCCCCTTCTCCCAACTGCACTATTTCAGTTTGGAAACCTGCTGCGGTGCCCCCAGGAGAGCTATGGCTCAGTTGTTACTCATATTCCTCTTCTCCTTCATGGGACTGGATCACTGGCTGCATCATGTGTTCACTTTCACGGGCATCTGATAAACCTCGTGTACTAAATACTGCTCCTGATCAGCTCTAGGTATTAAGTATTGCCCTACTTCAAATGAACACACTGTACCTAATTTTGGAAGAAATTACCAGTAGCATGTACACTATTTTATATAAGGGATATATTGATATATTTTATACCCATATGGTCTCAAGCATTGCATAAAATTTCAGCAAGGCTACAGAAAGACAAATCTGGAATCTGAATGTATTTTAATCTAAGAACTGAGATACCTGAGAGCTTGTTAACAACCATCAGTCTAATCATTTCTTTATGTGATGGGGTTTCTTATTTCCAAAAGGTCTGCTGCTGTAAGGTTCCTTCACCTGGGAAGTGAAGAAGGAGTTTTCCAGCTGAATGTGAAATACAAGCAGCAAATTCTGGGTTTTCAAAACATTTATTCTTGTGGTGGTCTGATGTAGTAGGGACAGCTAATACCAAGTTAATGGATATTTTATGGCAAAGTTATTATTGTAACTCTAGCAGCCTTGCAATGTTTTCAAACAGTCCTCTTCTGTGTGCTTCAAATATAAAATGTGCCAAAATGTATAAGCTATGAAGAGGTATACTTGGAGAGAAAACTGGAGGGACTGAAGAGCTTTGAAAGACTGACAGAGGATTGAAAACCAAGGCTTGTGTAAGTTGGCCAATGCATATATACAGTCCATTCATCATAATATTGCTTGTGTTCAAATTATATTTGGATGTTTTAATTTTGGTCATCATCTAAATTACAACCACTCAAACTTGAGATCAGTACCTTAAGAACAGCTACCTATAATCTTTAATCTAGCATCACTGTTTGAATTTCAGTTTGAAAGTGTAGTGATAAATACATCTGCTATGTGCCTGACAATGAACATTTTCCATTTCCAGTGCATATTTAGAATCACAGTAAGACATCAACCAGCTCAGGGAATCCTGGCCATTTCTAATGAGTTATACTTTCCCCCCAGTAAGTCAAATTCCCCCCCCCCCCCCAGCTAAAACAACTGCTACTGAACAGTCCTTAAAGATGTCTTCATGGTTTTATCCTTTACCTCTTTGAGATCTTGTAATCTTGTCAAATTGATCAGAACAGTAGCTATTTCCATCAGAAAGTTACAGAAATATCAAGGTAGTTTTACTTTGGGGCTACTCATATGTTTGGTTTCAGAAGTCACCTTTTCCCCTGCTGATTCTTCAGCAGTTCTTCAAGTCCTTTTGTTGCCAGCATTCACACTTGAGCTGGGAATTCAGTATAGTCTCTGATGTGCTTGGTGTTGTGCATATGTTCATTAAACAGTGAAGTAACTTGTCCTCTGTCTGGGGTGTTTGCAGACAGCAGAACCAGAGCTCAGTGGGAAGCTAGCTAAAAACATCCGTGGCATGCTCGTTAGTAACGCTTCTGTGTATAAAGGCAGAAGTTATCGTAAGACCAAGCCAAGCACCCCCATGCACATGCACCCACCATAACTGGCGCTGCCTGTGCAGTACTCACCAGCTTCTCGATTTGCACTGTGACTTGTTGGCTTGGGCGGTGGGAGAGGAGGCTGCTTAGCAGGAGCCTTTCCCTTTTTTTTAGCATGAGGTGCTTCATTACTCTTATGGCTGGTGGTGGTGGAAGCAGCGATAGCATTTTTTGGTGGTAGTGGAGCTTTTTTAGATTTAGGCTTAGGCTTGGGTGGTGGTGGAGCATGGGATGCCGGTATTTCTGGGCAGTGATCAGTAGTGCTCTCTATGGATAAGAAAGTGAACAGAAGCCAACTGACACAGACATAAGCCACGTACATTCAACAGCAAGCCTGGCAACAATGACTACTTTTCGCTGCTTCAGTTCTTGGGAACCAGGAAAGACTTCTTCCTTTTTTGCCTCTTATTGAAGTATTATCTCAGAAAAAAATTGCCATCTATCTCAGTTCAAGTCCTTCTCATGGTAGATTTTTGCCCAGCACTCCTCTCAGTCTCATCTATTCTAGACCTCCAAGGATCATCCTTAATGTTCAGTATCCCCAACTAGACTGCTGGCTGCAAACTAAACAAGGGAAATGCCATTTACTCCTCTAACAAATTCCCTTGGCTTCTTTCCAGCCCTCTGAGATCAACAGGCTATAAAACTCAGATTCATGTGAATCTGAATGTGAACAGGGCCATTCTCTCAGCCACAGGTTCAAATATGGCTATGCAGCTGAAATTTTCCCCTGAAGCAACCCATTCTCCTAAGCTGCAGACTGCTTGCTCATAGCAACTTTATTTTGGGTATCTTCCCCAGGGCATTTCTACTCTTCAGAAAGAGACGAAGCCAAATCAAATAGGATATCATTTGCCATGGGAATGCTCTTCTCTCCTCCAAGCTCTTTGGGTACTCTTACAAGACTATACTTTCAAGAATCAGCAGTTCCTTAGTCAACAGGAATTTGGACTGTATCTACATTGTGTCATGCAATAGGAATGGCTCTGTAGAGTGAAAGAGGTAGTAGCACTGAGGACCCAATGTCCACAACGTGCATTTCAGGAGACTTGACTTTGGACTAGCTTCAGGCTAGTTCTGTAGATTGCATGCCCAGTAGTGGTGGGAGCCCAAGTTCCTGAATGTATCTTTTGGCTTAGTTTCATCCAGAAGAAACCTGGCTTGTGTGCTCTGCAAACCAAAGAAGGGTAAGTGGGGATGACCAGGAAATTCACTTCAAAAGTGCACACCTAATGCCAACTGTAATGTTAATGTAGGTGAGCCATTTATAGTCAACACAAAATTTTGCAACATAATCCGTATGATTGTAAGACTAGCTGTTCCCAGATGGGAACAACTGAAGTTCCCAGATGGGTATCTTCATCCATTCAATTACACCAACTCTGCACCCATTTTGCCTCAAGACAGCCTTCCCAAACCTTCCAGGAAAAGGATATTATAAAAGCAAGAACATACCATCAGAATCATATGGGCTTTATTTGCATGTTATTAAAAACTACAGTGGTTGGGGAAGAGAGGAGCCAAGCAAATACTGAAAGGACTTCTAACAGTCTCTTTTATCACTCAAGAGGAAACCAATTCATTTCTTGCAGTATGTTCCTATTAGAGCCTCACTCCCACACACATTAAATGGCCCTTCCTGGATCTCCTGTCTGTTCCCTGCTCTCTTCCTTCCCATGTAAAAGATTCCCAAGAGATAAGCAGCACCTTTTCATTTTAAGATTAGTAGACGAAAAACAAATAATGTGTTGGACAACAATGACATTCTTCATTGTTGAAGAAACAAAGCCTTTTCAACCTCTAGCTTAAGGCTTGTTAACATGAACCTAAAGCATCACCTGCAGTTATTAAAAGCAACATGCACACATATGTCTCTTCATGAACTGAAGGAATTAACATTAATTGTCCAGTGTCTTCCTCCTTTATTTCCAGCCCATTATAGACTAATATGTTTTTGCTAATGTTTTGCAAGAATCATTGCATAGCAACCTTTAACATCTTTCAAACAGATTATTTCGAGCACAGATTCTTGTACTGCCTCTTTGTTTTCCAGAGAAAGAACTCTGGACCAGAGAAAGACTTTGGAAGAAGAAAGAAACATACATATTTGTTACGTTTTGCTCTTCTCTTTTATAGCAAAAAGCATCTCCTTGTGAAATTCTACCTACCTTCATTCAAAGTTGAAAAACTGATTTAATTCTGAAAAAGCAGGACATTTAAAAATTTTAATTCCATTAATAACAAACATGGCAAGGGAAGATAAGATTTTGCATTTTGAAGATCTTGAAGGACATGATGATCAGAAAAAAATTTAAGTGTAAACAATTCTTTGATATACCTTTTACTCATGGGTCCAACATGCTAAAATTTTATTTACTAGTAAGGAAGAATTTAAAACTTGTGTACTTATACACCTTTCCTGTGTTTTGTTTCCAGCCATATTAGTAGAGAAAATATTAAAAAGAGAATGATAACCTTGTAAAAAGAAATACACCATTCACCATATTCTGAAGTAATACAGTGCAATTATTTATAATCTCAGTCAATCTACATTAAACTATATAACTGATTAAATAATGTGTATTAGAATTTATCTTCTGATTCAGGGAAAAAAGTACAAAATACAAGGCTAACCTTTTACTTAGTTGCAAATAAACACATCTTAGTGACAACCCAACCAACTAATAATTTTCTAATTTTCTTTAGAGAAAGAACTAAAAACTATAAATGAAAAGAAAAATCGGAACAGTTCATTCATATCAAAGTTCTTGCTTGCAGACTTCAGCTGTGATTAAAACTGGCGATTTATATAACATTGATTTTAACTGAAATACCCTGCCATCACTGGGATATCATCGTTATCTAGGACAGCTCTTTCCATACTGTTACGTACATCATACCAAAGACTGGCAGACTCTTTCTGCACAGCAGCATCCTATCTGCTCAGTTACAGTTCTCGTAGAGTCTTGACTGCGCCTTGACACGCCCTTTTCTTGGCCTTGACCAGTGAATCTTTTTGCTCATAGCCATGAGGAAAGCTGTGGTGAAGATGATTGCCTTTGACTATATTGTCCCTGTTGGCATCTTATTAGCCTTGTCATTTTTTTCTTTGTTAGGTTCATCTTTTTTATCTCATCAGATATAAACTTGACTGCCCTCAGTGTCAGTCTGGTCTTGCCCAAACTATTTCTCATTTACTCTTGAGATACAGATTTCCAGTTCCTACCTGACCAGTCCATTATACCAGCTTTTGCCAGTGACAAGCCAAGTTTTGAACCAGATGCTTTTCATTGCTTTTCCTCTGCTGCCCCTCAGGCTTTGTGAACATTCACTGACTATCCTCTCTCAAATTCCCATCTGCTGTGATGCCAAAGCTGAAAATTTTTAGGCTGCCGACATTGGGCTTGTTATCCTGGTCTGGTGCCCTCTTGTTTTTCAGTGCCTAACCACAGTGTCCTCTCTTTTACTGGAAGTCCATTGGAACTTTTTTCTGTTTTTCTGCATTTATGTAAGACACTACAATAAATTCCTGGTATATACATCAGTACTGTTGTAATACAAATAACTAATAATGGCAACAGTGGCTTGATCCTGAACAGTGTCAGGGATGGTCTGATGTCTGTAAATGGCTTGAGATACAATTATGTTGTAATTGTACCTCCCTAACATAATTCTGCTTGAATATGGACCCTTGGTCTTCATGCCTGCTCTTTCTTTTGCATCTTTTACCAAAACAAGGAGGCATCTGAATCAGTTCAGACCCATCTATTTGTTCAAGCCAATCCCCCAGGTACCTCAGTACCAGCTGCAATGTATTTTTATCGCTGTTGTTTTTCTTAATGTAGACATCTGTTCATCATGAACTGACCTTTTAACAAAAGGTCTCCAAAAGACCATCAGATAGGAATATCTTTTATTCTCTGCTGCCTTCATCAAGATATCTGCTGTAAAATCAATCTGCCTATAAATTACTCTTTAAATAGGAAAGCAAAGCAAATGTTAATGTCTCATTAAGCATTTGGATCAATAATATGTTTATGCTTAGAATAAATTTTCCAAAGGCCAGATTTTCAAGAAAGCTTACTCTGAGACCAGATTTTCTTGTTCCCAGAAGTTGTGATTGGGGCCAGACTCTTAAGAAAGCTGTGTTCTCATGTAAACACCTAAATGATGGTCAGGGTTACAAAGTACTCGGTATACAGCAGCTCTTGTGGGGACTCATCAAGTCTCAAAGACTTTCAGAGAGATGCCAGTGTGCCATATGCACTGGAAAATCAGACGACTTATTTTGGAAGCTACATGTGGGACCTTTTGCAAACTGGACCAAATGGACCTATGAAAATCCTGGGCATAGTTTCAGAAGCCATACATGACTGGGTTGTATAATACACGAATTTTTTTCTTTACTTCTGTGAACTCCTAAGGAACTGAAGGCCAAAGCTTTTCTACCCCAGGGTTTTGTCATACAGTACTGGTATTTTTGTTTCTACAGGTAAAGCAGTGACATGAAGCTCGATCATGGAAAACCAGTATGCTGCAGCACAAGCATATCATCTACTTCAACTGCAAAGCACCCTTCTCCCAGAAGATGAGCACAACTCAGTGGAGTAACGCTATGTAAAATGGAAGTTGGAAATAAAGTATGATTTGTTGTCTTTTGCAGGATGACTCCCTGCAAAACGAAACTCAGTAAGAGTTTTGAGAACCGTGAGTTTCCTCTCCAGCCTATGCAGAGAGCTGTGTTTTGATTAATCAAAATCCTGGAAGTTGTCATTCAGAAACATGGGACACAGGGCAAGACAAGGTGTCTTTTGTCTCTTTTTTGGACTCACTGACTGTGCTGATGCAGGTGGTCAACTCATACAAATCCCTTCATAAACTTCAGACTTAACCAGCTCCATTTTTTGTTCCTGCTATTGCTACTAAAATTCTGTTCAAGAAAAGACCCATTCTAATTGTTAGAAAGCTTCCTTTAATTTCCAGTCTAAATGTATTCCAAGCCACTGTTTATTCCTTTCTACTTGTGCCAGCATTGTCCTTTGGCCATGCTCTCTCCTGGCTATCTACCAACTTGTTACATTCATCAAATGCACTCAGGCTCTCTCAGGCTCCATTTTGCTAGGCTGAACAAGAACAGCTGTCTCACGATGCTTTTCGCAGTTCTCTCTGCAGTTTTGAATTCGTCTTCCTTGAAGATTTCAACAGCACTATGGGCAAGAGGTCTTGCAGAGACAGTGTAAGAGAGACAGTGTAGAAAACAAGAGAGG